TCAGGCAGCTACCCGCTCGCGGGGGCGTTGGGTGGCTGGGGGTCTTCCGGTGGGTTCGGTACAGGTTCGAACCAAGGAGCAGAACAGAAGGTCCGGAGATCAAAGAGGAAGACAGTCCGCCTGGCGCGTGCGATGAAGGTACTGCTGGATCTGCCAGAGAGGAGGAACCCGCATCCTGATGCCATACCGTTTCCTTCGGGGGGTTTTGTGTTTGTGTGTCCGAGTGCTAGTGAGTGGCTCTGTTCTTATTTTTTGCTGTGGCTCTTTTGTATTTTTGTGGCTCTTTTGTTCTCGGATGTTTCTTGTTGTTGGAGGTTGGTTGGTAGGCGCTCGGTCGCCACAAAGGGAGGTCGTGGCGTCCTATTTATTCAACAGAGTTGAGATATATATGGAGCCCTTCTCTCTTTCTTCCTTCGCATCTCTTCCTCCACACCTCGATGGTTCATGAACATGCGCATATCTTATGCCTTCACTTCTTTTTACTCTTCCATTTATGCGCGTTTCTTCAACCCTTTTCCTTCTTCCCTCTTTCTCGTATTTAAACCCATCTCACCTTGGTCGACTCCAGCCGCGGATCGCTTAATCTCAACCAAGGAAGAGGTCGTCAGCCTACGAAATCGGTTCGAAGCAGAGCTGGAGAGACAGGCGGCGAAAGCTGCACGGCTGGCTGCCGTTGCGAGTAACGGCAACAAACCTCTAGTCAAGGGTGGTCGTACGAAGAGGGAAAGACAAGAACGAGACCGCGAGCGTGCGGCGAGGTTGGAGATCCAGAGACAACAACGTCTGGCGAAGGCCATCACCGCTGGACCTGCGTCCAACACAGGCGTCCAGACGCCCACCGAATCAGTCGAGTCGGCACCGCTGAGTGCTGCTGATGCACTGGCAACCCCTACAGGCGCTGGTGGTGGCAAGACGAAGAGCAAGAAGAAGAAACGGTCAGCCCTCGCAAACGCTTCAAACCCTCATCACCTTAGGAACTATGTGCCCTCCAGACTCCCGCACAGCACCGCGGGCGATCGTGACGCTGCAGCCATCAATGCTGCGAACGCTATCTCGCCCTTGCCCCTCCAGTTTCTGTCCGCTGAGATCCCGCCACGCCGCAAGGGCAAGAAAGGCGCCGGAACGACTGCTGGAGTTGCTTCAATCCAACTCACGAACCCTGCAGATGAGTGGATCTGCGCGTTCTGCGAATACGACCTGTTTTATGGCGACGAGTCGGGGTATCGGCGTGCGGTGAGGAACAGGAAGAAGATCCTGCGTAGGAGGAGGAGGGCAAGGGAGCGTGCTGCTGCTGCTGCGAGTGGGCAGGGTACGGGTGTGACATCGAAGAACAACGTGCCGCCGCCACCTCCCCCGTTGGAGGATTTTGATGAGTATGAGGGTGGAAGAGGTGGGCTGGATGAGGCGGGCGTCGCGCCTACGCAGCGGGGAAAGAAGGCGAGGGCAGGGCCGGATAAGGAGCAGGTTTCGGCGTTTGGATAACAGACGAAGCGATGGCAAGATGGTGGGTTGAGCATTCGGGTTTGTAGGGAAGGAGCGGGGCAATTGAAAAATACGCGAAGGTAATCAGGCGGCTCCGAGAATCGTCGATTCGTTGCTTTTTGCGCCCGTTCCGCTCATACACCTACGGATTCTCCGAGGTCGGCCCTCCGTGAACGCCTGAACTCAAATTTCTTTTCTTTTGCTAGCCCTTGTCACCGCATAAAGTCTCTTCCCTCTCATCTTTCCTTTTTCTGCCTCACCTCTCTTCTTCAAGTTCTAGCCTTCTTTCATTCTGGTTCTGTCCTTCCTTTCACTTTCTTAATTGCACCCCATGGTCCGCTTTATTCTCTTCATCACACCCTCTACCCTACATGCCTGCATCCATACATCCACTTGCGAAATTCGTCCATCTTTTCTCTCATCATCATCTAACCTAGCCGACATTTTGCATCTTTCCATTGTTCCTCCGTCTGTCTCTTGTTTTTTATCCCATACATAGCACATGCATTATCGCACACATCATACAGCTGTCTACATAGCGTTCAGAACTGCCCAATCCAGCATTATTTCTCGGAAGAGTGAGGGAGTGCACTGGAGGAGGGCGTTCGGCATCGAGCGGGCCGAGAGTATTTGGCCTTACCTCAGCAGCAGGCCAGTCAATGCTTCCGTCCGTTCTCTTCTTTCTACAACGACGTTGCAGACGGCGACGACGACGACGAGCACCGCCTCTCGACTCTTTAATTAGAGCGTACCTTCGCATTCGGAGTCCCAGGGTTACTCTCTGGCCTGCAGCCTCGCCAGATCGTGGAGAAGGAACGAGTCGGGCCAGCAGCGAACGAGAGGAACAAGCGGAACTTTCCAGGGAGACGTTGAGCTTGAGGTCGGTCCCCCTTTTTGCAATTCGCTGGGCGTAAAACAATCTGAGTGTTCAATATTTTATGCAAAACCCTGTATCAGGCGTACGGCTGCATTGCTGATGCTAGCCCTAGCGTCGGCATCCCGTATCTTTGCTCGTCCACTGCTCTCGGTCCCAACTTTTGCGTCGCGCTCGTGGCTGAGCTCCGGTAGTCCTATGTGAGTAATCCTGTCTTTTTTTCTGTATCCCATATCCTGTTTTTGTCTTGAAGAAATGATGGGAGGGCGTTTGAACGCGCTCAAGAGTCGACACTCCGTTCTCTCCTTGATTGTTTCGTCGCGAATCAATGATCTGTTCGTTCGGTGGAGTAGGCAGGAAGGAGAGATATTCATAGCAGGAGGACGGACTTCGGAAGTCGGACCCTGGTGGTACTCGTTGTGCCATTCGCTGTCCGTGCTCTCCTTGTCACCGGCGAACAATGCTCGTCCTGAGCGAATTTTTGCCGGCTGGCCGACCGTTGCTCTGCTCCTCCTGGCATGTCTATCTGCCTGCCATCGTCGTCAGGTCCCAGTTCTATTTCCACTGTCTTTCTTCGCTGTTGCTCCTTCGAGGCCCGTCACGTTGACATCCATGACATTAGTCTATCTTTAAGCGTTCATTTTGTTTTTGCTACTTCTCTTTTCGTCTTTTCGCCGTCGGACTTGGGGAGCTAAACCCTTTTGCGTTTCGCGCCCGTTGAATGTGCTCAGAATAAGCTTACTCACACTCTCTCTTCTTTCAGTTTGGCTCAAGAGCGTGCGGCCTCGCGCGTCTTATCAAACTCATCAACTCGGGCGAGCGGCTGTCATTTCCGTCTTTGCCCTCTTACCACGACTAGCTTATCCCGACGACCCCTCGACTACTTTTAATCCACCGTTTCCTCACTCTGTCTGCCTCAAAAGTGGCCACGAAAGCGGCACTGTATCATTATAACAGAGATATCAGATCTCCTGCCATGTCCTCAGACGGACGGTATCCCATGTATCACCATTCCTCGAGTTTGAACGCCAGCTATGACCAGTATCCTTCGTATGCAACTGGCCCCCCTCCACCAGCGCCTACTCACCATCCATCGCACCTACCACCCCCGCATTCGTCTTCGCATGGACCTCCGCCACACCTTTCGTCGTCCTCATCCTATGAGCCTCATCAGTCAATGCTCCATGCTCCTACACTTCGACAGCGGTCTTCAACATCCTCGACACATTCACAATCACATTCGCCGCACTATCCTCCGCCCCCATCATCCTCTTCAGGAGGGTATGGTCACCCGTCTTCCAGCTACGTTGGCCCCTCAGCGCCTCCTCCACCTCCTTCGTCATCTTCTTCATCCTCTACACCTTCAGGGTACTCCCTGCACCCGTCACATCAGCCTCAGTGGTCGCCACCTCCACCTCCTCAACCCGCCCCACTTCCATCCTCGTCAGCCAGCAGTTGGGGGCACTACTCTTCACATTCACATCACCCCACTCACACGCCAAGCAGCAGTAGCAGTTCTCTGCAAACTGCCCATCAGTCTTCTTCATATGGGCCACCGCCTCCGTCTTCTTCCTCTTCGTCGCTCTCTGCCCATGAGCATCCCCCTCCGCCTTCTTCTCGTATGATCAATGGCCCGCCACCACCAAGCTCAGCAAGTTCGATCAATGTTGGACCGGGTGTATCTGGCCATGGGCAAAGCCATAGGGTTTCAGTTTCGTCCTCGTCTGGAGGCTACGGACTATCTTCTGTGTCAAGCTCGAATTCGAGGAGGATCATGCACCAACCCCCATCGTCGTCGTCGCTAGCGGATGAACGGCGATTTAGCGGTCATCAGCAGCAGCAACACCCCAGCCACCCCAGCCATCCCAGTCAGCAGCAGCAGCACCAACAGCAGCAGCAGCAGATGACACCACTGGCACCACCGCCAGCTCCTCTGCCGACGACGGCCACTCCAATGCAGTTACAGCACCATCCTCAACCGCAAACGCACGGTTATTCGTCGTACAGCTCCCAGAGCCAGAGTCGATACCAGAGCCAGCAGCAGTACCATCAGCCTCCGCCGTCATCTTCCTCGTCTTCATCTGCACCACCGCCACCTCCGCAATCTTCTGCGTCAAGTGCGCCGTCAAGCCATTATCAGCACCAGTCCATACCTTCTGCGACGCCCACACCGCAGCCGCCTCAGTACCAACCTCTACCGCCTACTCAATCATCTTCGTCTTCCTCCTCGTCGGTGCAAGTGCAGAGTGGCCCTGGGTCGGGTGCGGTACCGATACATGTTTCTCAGCACAACACGGAGCGTGACTGGCCTCCGGTCCAGTATTTGCAGCGAATCCCTCCGAATCCTCAACACCAGCAGCAACAGCAACAGCAGGCTCAGCACCAGTCGCAGATACAGCAACAGCAGCACCAGCACCAGCAACAACAGCATCACCAGCAGCAACAGATGATACAGCAGCAGCAACGGACGGGTCAGCCCTCATCTTCCTCGCTTTCCCAGCATCAGCACCCACCTTCGTCCTCTTCTCTACCAAGCAGCAGTTCTGGAAATAGGAAGAAGAGAGGCAGGGACTCATACACACCTGTTTCGTCGCTGTACCAAGCTTCTCAACCGCCGCCTCCTCCTGCGTCGTCGTCATCTTCGAACACTGGAGGTGGTCCAGCAACAGGAGGAAGCATCCATCAACAACAAACCCCCGGCCCGCCTCCTCCGGCTACCAGTCTAGCCCATATAGTCCGTTCCACGCCTGGCCCGCCGCCGTACCAGTCCCCCCAGCAGTCGACAACGTCCACGTCGAGTTCTTCGTTGTACCAACCATCCAGCTCGAATGCACCGCCCCCTTCGTCGTCTGGTGGATATTCGACGACCAGCTCGAGTTACCCGCCTCCTCAACAATCGCATTATGCTCCTCAGCCTCCGCCTCAACCTCAAGCACAACAACCGCCCCCGACCTCTGCGACGACGACACTTCAGCATCATCAGCCGGCGCACCACCCTCACCAGCAGCCGCCGCCTAGTTCGTCCTCGAGCTTGAGCATGAGTGGAGTTGGCGGCCCGGTTCCAAGTGCCGGTCATCCAGGTCATCCAGGTCATCCAGGTCAGAGTGGGAGTGGGAGTGGTGGGGTGCCTTCAGGGTATCATCAGTCGACTTCGTCTGCTTTATCGTCGAGTACGGGATCGGGCCAGCTCCAGAGCGATTCTGGGCGTGGTGGTGGTGGGAGCATGCAGCATGGTGTTGTTTCTGGCGGAGGGGCGGCATCGGGGCCGGGTGTGGGTGCGATTGGAAGCTCTGTAGGAGGAGCAAGTGGTGGTGGTTCTTCTGGCGGGGGCGGTGGTGGAGCAGCTATTGGTTTGGATTTCATCAAGGTGGGTGGGCGTCTTCGTCGTGTTTTTTTGGCTTTTGTTCTGGTTTATGAACTCTTGCCCTTGTTCTCGTTCCGTTTTCCTGACTCCAACCTGTCGGGGCCGCTGTTCGCTTTTGTTCGGAGTCACTTCAAGTTCGAGCGAGCCCGATGTAATCTCGGTCTCCAAGAGTGTGGTTCCTGTTAGCGATTTGACGAGGATCTGGGTATCTGGATCTGCAACCTGGCTTCTTTTTCCTTCGTGTTGATCCCATGTAATTCCTGTTCCGTTGTCTCTTTTGCGCGCCGTACCTGTCCTTGTGCTTGGCTGGTCTGGGTACGCTGATGAGCTGCGGCAAGCCTCCGATTCTTTTCCTGGCTATTTCCGTTATGTATCTCGTGGGGAAGTTCCACGAGGCGCGCCTGAACGTGTTCAATGTTCTTCTCCCGACCCTGATGCTTTCCTTTTTTTCTGTTTCGTCTGGAAACGCGTGTTGGTAGATGCTGACGGCATTTTCCTTCTTTCTGTTGCATATATAGCTCGCACAGACGTTTAGAGAAATTCTCGACCACACCGACTCTGTGGCTAACGGCAGCTCGAACCACCTAAATGGACGACCCGCTTCTTCGGCCTCGTCAGCAGCAGGTCACGGCGTCAATGGGCATTCCAACGGTACCCCGTCGTTCTCCGTCGAGGCCATGGGCAGGCTGCTCATGAATGCATCATACGGGAGCCAGATGCTCGAGGTGGCGCTGAAGCACGTCCAGATCGGCCCAAGTCCAGCACCTCCGCCACCTACCAGCGGGTACAGTTCAGCTGCACCGGGGCAGACCACGAGCACGAGCGCGAGCTCGCTGGCTGGTGCTGTACCGCCGCCCCAGCCACCCTCGACTGCAGGATCATCGACATCCTCTTCAGCCCAAGGGCATTCGCATTATCCACCACATGTGGCGAATCAGTCATCGACAACGACGTCTCCGAAGGTCAACAAGTCGACGGAGGATTCGAGGGTGATGAAGGTGGATAGTGGGAAGGAAGCTGTGGTGAACGGGTCTAAGGCTAGTGGAGGCACGAACGCGTCTGGTGGGGGCACAGCGGCTGGTGGGGATCGGAAGCGTCAGGTATGTTATCGCTCTTTCATTTGGGTACATCGTTCGTGTCGATTCTGCTTCGCATACTTTATCCAACTAAATGGCCAATATTGATCGTCTTTGGTGTCTAGAAAACTGGCGAAGAGGGTCAGCAGGAAGGAGCACAGACGTGTCTCGGATGCAACGCTACTTCGACACCCGAATGGCGTCGTGGGCCCATGGGTGCGTTCAACGCCCAACGTTTCATACCTCCCTTCACATTTTAAACTTCTGTCACAGGCCCGAGGACGCTGTGTAATGCCTGCGGACTGGTCTACGCCAAACTCGTGAGTGCATTCTCTCTATTACGTTTCGATGTAACCTGATCAGTTTTTCTTAGATCAAAAAACGCTTTAACAACAAACCCTCTAATCCCAAAAAGCCTGTCGGCGGCGCCGCTGGCAAAATTGCTGGGGGTACGACGACCTCGCTGGGCGGAGGCGTTGGGGGCCAAATGCACATGATCGCTCCAGAAGACTCTCAGGACGAGGGTAGCGAAGACGAAGAGGATTACCGGTCGCAAGATCGGAGGAGCGACCTACATGACTGATCCTTCCTTTCTTCTCTCTCGTCTGCTGTCCTGCTCGTCGTCTGTCTGATCTCTTCTGCTGTGTTGATCTGCACCTGCTATCGTCTTTCTCTTTTTTGGGCACCTTGTTCTTCGTTCGTCTATCGATTGATTGCTTTCCGATATCTTGCACTGCTGCGCTGATCGCTCGCTGTCGTCTCTTGCTCTTCATTTTCTTTTCGAGGACTACTACGCTCGTACCCACCACATATATTAGCACCGAGCTCACCCTGTATGACCATACATCTCCCTCATTTTGGTTTGTCTTGCCTCCCAGTTATTGATACCTTGCCTCGCTGCCAAATTCTTATCTATTTATTATCTTTCTGCCTTCGTCTTCTTGTTTCTTGTTTCCGTCTGCAGAGCATAGGTACAATATACTGTAATTCCTGGAGGATTGGCCTGGCTCGACTGCCTGATTGTAGATTTATTGGAGCAACCGTAGGCGTTGTCATCGTCTTTGCTATAGATGTTCCATTCCCCGTTCTCTTGCCTACCTGAGGGTCCGAAGGAGTCAACTACTTGAACGGACAATGATGTAGGTAAGTGCTACTTAAGTAGTGGGAACAGTGGGGCCGATATGCAGAACTGGCAGAGTTCCAGAAACCCGGCTACAGACCCCTGCACAGTTTTAGGCAGACAATGTTCGAGAAAGCCCTTTTTTCTCGCTCGAATTCTATGGTGTCAGTGTCTGGGTCCCATCCCTTCTGAAAACTGCCAAGGAAAGGACGACGCTCGGTGAGGTGGAATCTTCTATTTAACGAACCTGAACTACTCAGAAACCGACGTTGAAAGCTGAAACGACACATAGAATAGTGATTGTTAGTTAGCGACAGGCATGGCTTTCTCTCTGTCCTACAGCTGCATTAAAAGTCCAGGTACCGGCTCTGAAACCTCAACTTAGACACATTGTCTCCCAGCTCACACCTTCTCCAGCTTCCTCTTCGCCAACTCTTCATGGAACGCGTCCCTCCATCCCTTGCGAGTCGCTGTCTTACGGGTATGCTTATCCCCAGGATGATGCGCGACGAGGCCGTTAAATATCGCGGCCATGTCCATCGGGGTGATGCTATACCTCTCGCCGTGTATTGGCACGCCACCGATGCGATGTAAGATGTCCGGGACGCCGGGCGCCCTCGCCTTCGTATGTTTCTCGCCGAGCGCGATCCCATGCTCCTGGTTGACAAGCGTGTAGTCGACGAAGACGCTGGCAGAGAGCGTCATGGTGCCCGTAGCGACGGGCTTCCCGAGGACGTTGAGCAGCCCGGGTCCATGAGCACTGGCGGGGTTGAGGTCCCTATAGATGGTAACGGGAATCTCGCGCCTAGGAACGAAGAACGACGGTTCGTGGTCCGCGTTGAAGGGCTGCATGGCGCGCTCGCGCGTAGTGTCAGCGATGGCAATTAGCCCCTCTAGTGAGCCGTCGCGCCCATTAGCCAACGAGAACATCGGCTCGTCGAGGATAAGCCTGACTCCACTAGCGGTGAGCTGAGTGTTGGGAGCATGAAGCAGCATATGGCCGATGTGCTGCTGATGTTCGGTTCCGTAAAGGTAGAACGGCATACACTCTGGGTAGGCCTTGTCGAGGTGCTTGGGAGCGATGGAACGGTTGACGATGACTCTGATGTTGGTGAGCTGAACATTGGAAACAAGGAGCTTTGGATGTTTCGTGCTACGGAAGGAGTTAAACCTCGGCCACAACTGGTTAGTCGAAGAAAATAACGTACTCGAGTCCTTTGTGGATCGACACCTTGCAATGCCCCTCAGAGAGGGTCTTTGAAAGCAGAGCTTTCTCGGTCGTCAATGTGAACAACGCAACTGGTTCCTCCTTTACTTGTTCGGCGTAGGCACGCATAATGCTGGCTGGAAGTTCACCGGTGAGGACCAGTTGCTGGCGGTAGTTTCCAATATGGAACATCGAGATGTACGAGAGAAAGAGCTTGTCCGTTCCCTGCATGACGAACGAATGGTGCGCCTTAGAGACCGAGATACGAGCCTCGCATTCCTGATCAAAAGACGTGTCAGTTAAGGTGGCAGGTAAATCAGGCGCAGTCGAACCTTAATCTCCTCCTTCGCAGCTTCCTTGAACGTATCCGCGAGGCTCTTCACCAAGCTGTGTGCAGTAGGGAAAGGCGACATCGGGACGAGGGTCATGACTGTGAGATCGCCTTCACCCTTGAGTCCGAGTCGCTCCTTGTACTTCTCCAAGGCTGGTCCATAAGTCTTCTCTTCAAAAGTCGAAGACCCAACAATCAGCTCGCGGGTATACGGATCGTCTTGGCGCTTCGTGACAGAGAATCGCTCGAACAAACGACGGTTCAAGAAGTTTACCTCGGCGACGTCTTCGTTGGCCTTTCCATTTACACGGAAGTTGCACGCGAAGACAGTGATGACGAGGTCGCCGCCTAGCTCGGAAAGCTTCTCCATGACCTCGCGATTGTGCAGAACTTCGCTGTTGGACTTGTTGACGATATTGTCGATGATGTACTGCGTTTCTTCGTCGATGGCAGATTGGGGCATGCCAGCTTTCTCGGAGGGAAGCATGACGAGGGTCTTGACGATTAGCTCTGGTTCATTAAAGGTCATCGTGGCCCAATTACAATATAACTGCGGGTATGTTAGACGGATATGTCACAGTCATGAGAGACGCGCACCTTCGCGGACGTATACATAGCTTCTCCCAGAAGCGTGCCATAGCCTTTGTAGTGGAGGCCGATGACATGATGCGCCAACCACACAGAAGTGGCAGCCGCTCCAGGTTTGCTGCACCGCTCGTAAGCAATAAGAAGGAACAAAGCTATTCAAAACACAAACCTCCCCTCTACGCCATACGTTCCAATGCTGTCGACGTCTGCAGTGGTGTTAATATATGCGGCCGTCATGGTCACCATAAAGCGCAAGCGCTCGTCTCTATAGGACAAACTCCCCGAAGGATATGGCGCGAAGCCAGCCTTGTGAGGATCGACGGTACAAGAATCAGCAAACCGGATAGAAAACAGCTGGTTCTTCGTGTATTCTGAAAGCGGGCGTTGCAAGACAACATCGCCAGATGGTGGTAAATCAGCAGGGAGTGGAATTATGACGGCCTCTGGCGGAGGCTAAATATTAAGTCAGCAACCAAGACTTCTTGAGCAGATAACCATTTTTGTACGTACTAGCATAGAAGCGAAATAACCGCCCTTGAACCGCGAATTAATGTGAGCAGAGAGAATGTAAAGTTTAAAAACGTACCCAGGCAGCATCAACATGGACGTAGAAAGAAAGACCCATCTTCTGATATTCGTTGCGGAGCTGGATGATGTCGAAAAGAGGATCTACCGCTCCGTGCTCTGTCGTTCCCATGATGGATACCACCATATAAACGGCTTGCTGTTCCTCAAGGCACTTTCGCAAGAACTCGTCCAAACGACGGATATCCATGCGAGCGGTGATGTCGACGCCGATGTGGACCAGATTATCCATACCCATCCCAGTGATAGCTGGGAGAGCATACTAATGTCAGATACACAACGTTTCAAACACATAAAATAGCGTACAGGTTGACTTGGGCCAGGAGTAATGGCAGGCGAGACTGACGGCCATCTTGGGAGCCTTTATCCCAAAATGATTTTCGAGCACTTCCTTGCCCGTGTTCGCAATGAGGTAAGGGGCCACAGCGCCTTCGATAAACTGGGTTGAAATTCCGTAATTGTCGACCAGGCGAGTCGGGAGATCAAGAATCTCGTCGACGGAGAGATTGAGGAGCTCCCATGCTGAACAAATGGCGAGCTTCTTCTTATCCCCATTGCAAAGGTTCACTTCGAACGCGTCTGCGACGAAGAAGAGGGAGCCTTCTTTCACGGCACGCAGCAACGACAATGGATAGAACTTGAGGTTCCGGGCTAAATGCCTTCAAGTATCAGATGTTGGTCCAAGGAGAAGCTGTGCGTGAAAACAGCTCACCAACCCTAAACAGGAGAAGTCGAGATCAGCAAAGTGTTGCAAAAGGTAGAAGTTTAAGAGACAAACCATGCAGACTCCAAGTTGGCAACACTACCGCCACACGTGATGTGACCCCATCCAATAGGCGGCGCGGGATGATCACTAGCAGGCTTGGGGTCATAATACGAACGATAGCCAAGCAGCCGGCACAACTGCTGGCCGACAAGGTATTCGACGTGGCTGGTGATAGGACTGGCCTCTGGGGTGACGTTATTTTGGTTCCAAAGCATGCCTACGAGATAACCAATAATCGCGGGCATGGAAGCGTCGGAAACCATGTGCCCGTTGTACCGAGGGGAGAAGAATGGGATACAATGCTTCGCAAGCATCTTGCTCAAAAATTCGACATATTCTTCGAGCTTGTGGATTTGTTTGGAGTACGCCGCGGAGTGGATGGTCGCTTGATCTATGAAAGTCTGTCCAATATTTAGTATTGAGACTATATTGAAATATTGAAAGAAAAGTGTACTGGATCGTCGGGGTAGAACTTCTCTCGAGCCTCTTGGATGTCCTGAGTAATGGCAGCAAAAATATCTTGGAGGACCCTGTGGTTCTCTCCCTTGGGACCAAGGAATGAGGCAGAAATTCGTTCGTGCGTAGCGCTGAGGCTGGTGTAGCCATTGTCAGCTTTGTGGGTAGGCATAGGTGGAGTGTTCGAGTTTTCAGGTGCGATTATATGCGTTGTAAACACAATGTCCTTTGAGGAGATTGAGGTCGGCCTTTTATATAGGTCAGGTCATCCAGTCCGGAAACGTCGGTTCCTTAATAATGCCTGTAGTCGATTGATCAACTTAACTGTAGCTCGAGCTAAGGCTCCATTCTGGAATTCGGCGTCATTCAACTCAAGCACGGCTGCCCACTATACTTGGTGAGTTGCTTAACTCTCCGTCAAAGCTTCATGGATTGTTGGCGCCGTCAGTGGTCCATGATGCCATCCTACCTCTTTAGATACCCATGATGGAGTTGATGAGTATACTCATTTATTTATTCCTCTACCAGATTGCTTGTAGTGCATACAGTTTACGTTATACCTACCATTCCTTCCATTCCATACGTCGACGACGAGTGCCAATTCGGCAAGCAGTTGGGTGACGGTCTTCATTTATCGTCGGCAAACAACACTGCCCGCGACAATTTTCACTTTTTTCCCGTCGATTTGCCCTTTCATACTTTCCGCAGGTCTCTTGTGTCACCGTTCAGTGTGCCATAACATTGTTTGCCATTCTCGCTCATTAAATGCTGATGTGCTATTTTTGGTTTTCCTTCTTGGCCGGAGGATCCGTGGAACCTATTCGCTTGCAATTTCTCCTCTTATCCTACTCGTTCCAATATGGGCTTGAAAATAGTAATTTAGGCGCTTTATCAGAAAATTTTCGGGTCTTCTCTCATGTCCGAGTCCTTTGGTCCGATTCCGAGTCGACTGTCTTGTCCTCGCTACCGTTACGTAGCTGCGCAATTATTTAATCTAGAAGAAGCTAGTATATTTTATGTTCTATTTCCGGTCGCTCATGGGTCATGATTAGCGGCCGCGCACTAAGTACACTGGTTGAAGCGGGATGTGGCGCACAAGGCGATGATTGCCATTTTTGTGATATTTTGATCGCTCTTTCTAGCTTATGTCATCCCGCGCGAGTCTGCCCTTGTGGCTGTGCATCTGTGTGCTCGCCATTGCTCACCATGGATAATAAGTCAGCAGATTCGCTGTGAGGGATTTGGGGTGTAACAATGGAATACTGATCAGCTGGTGAATCAGGCCCGAATAGAACGGCACAGGAGCCCAGGCTTTAGTGTGACGGTTGACTGATAAACAAGACGGTCGCCGTTGACTCGGACGTCACATTGGAAAACCGGCAGACATCAAACGTCTGAGAAGTATAAATTTAAACAGGAAACGCGGGTGGGAGTGAATGGATGACCTGATAACACCCCTTTCCCAAAGCGTGCCGGTGAAGTCGCCTAGTCCTACACATTCTGTCAGCTCTAAGGAATATTTATACTGTGCTTTTACCAGAGTGTAACACTTATGGTAGACAAGCTAGTGAAGTGAACGTGCGTTTGTCAAATAAGCGTTAGGGGGGACAATCGTGGTGATCCTCCGAGATCATTACCCATCCAATACTGTTTGATTTGGCTTCCTAAATTTGTATTAAATCGTAACTCATTTGAGCATCTTAGTTGACTCAAGCTGAGAGCCTGATATACACCAAGTGAAAGGACAAACAGCGTTTAAATGAAAGGACAGTAGTGATTCTCTAGTCGGCCCTGGATCGAACGGAATGCCATCTCAGTCAGATTTAATAAGATGCGAGTCGTGTTACTTTTAAATTAGCTGCGATGATCCTCGGGACTGTCCTTGCGAATGTAATGATGAGGGAATTTTTGCGGGGACAGTGGCATTTGAATACCGAGAAATTAGTTCTGATCTGAAGGGCAAAAAACTCCTGAAGCAATCATTCCAGACTTTCAAGACCAGCCAGCAAGTCAATTTATTATGGTATGACATGAGAAGCACTTTGATAACTTTTGCATGGCGATCGCAGTCTGGGTTATGTAAAGACTCTAAGGAGCACTAGTCGCCATCTGGAGACAGGTAAGTGACCCATTCTCTATGGTCGTGGCGCTTATCTACGTAGTGTCGAAATATGGCAGAGGGCTCGGAGCACGCTACTAAGGCCCACCGTCTGCTGAACTTCCCAAATCGGATCGGACTCCAAGCGGACTGGTCTTTCAATGTTACCTGTTGGGAAGAGGAAATGATTTCGTAGTTTTAGTACAGAACTAGCAACAATCTCGCGATTTACAGAGTAAAACTTCCTTGAGCCATCTTTCCCAAGCTTGCTTCAATGGGCCCCGCCTCTCCATTATGCACTCTACGAACTGACCATGTCCTTTTCGATCGGTAGCGCGTACCTTCAATGGTGACGACGGGGAGATGAGGGCAAGAAAGAAGTTGCATGCCGCTCGAAGGTGTCCGAGATCAAGAGGATTGTCGACGAAGGTGGCGATAATATCGAAAGTTTCTCGCGATAATTTCAGGATATTTGCCTGCATCGTGGTGGTTTGAGTTCAAGATCGCCGACTATCGAGATTCGATTGTAACCACGGAATCTTCCGGTCACGCACGTGATCCTTATGGGCGCTTATAATATTGGTGCTTTAATTGACAAGGCATCTCTGCTGTCAACCGTCATCGAACGAATCCTCGCTCCAGTCTTGGAGGCCGGGAAACTAATTTAAATCTCAAGGAGCCAAAAAAAAAACGCTAGTCTACCCTGGATTGGAAGTCAAGCAAGATGAAGTCAGGCGGGTCTATGCCTTGTCGTCCAGCGGTAAAAATTAGTGGACTTGGCGGAACGTGGTCACTCAATACTTATATCAAGCTTCCCAGGCACCGTGGAAGCTTCCATGGACGACTACAGTTATTCGACATTATAATGGCTATCGTCCAGTGAGATGTGCAGGAGGAAAGTTTTGCTTTCTATGGTGGAGGAAACGGATTCTCAATCTCCCAGACTTCAATGTTCCTTTAACTAGGACTCCGAGGGGTAAAGGAAAAAGACAGTTTCTTGACTATCCTGATGGGAGCAGATTCGGATACAAGGCAATTGCAGGAGCAGCAACCCTGTACGAGATACTCCGCTGGGACTCCGGCATAAATAGTCAATTCCTTGACTCTATTCGCACTTCTATATCCTATTTTTGTGACCACTCAAAACATGTCGAGACGAACAGTGAGGAAGGGGAGTATCTCGACGACATCTTTATGGACAAAACCCGCATCACTGAATTGGTAGTATGTTCACGCTTCTTGTTTGATTTCTCTATTCGCTACTGATATGCGAAGTGATCGTAATATATAGAGATCTCGTATTCGACCGCAATGGATGGGGGTTCACCTGTTTTCGTTTGAAAATATCAGGTGCGTTGACTCGGGATTACTGAAATGATGGTTTGCTTACCGACTCCTTCCCGAACAAAGATCACCGGAGCATTAGTTCCCTTCTCCAACTTGTACCGGCACCAACAGACACTTGTACCTGTGGTATTCGTCGCTTGAGAACTTAGCTTGAGCTTCAAGGTCGATCGTGGGTCGACTCGGAGAGCGTACTGGCTAGCCACTTGTGCTTCCTGAAACATAATGCAGAACTTCGGCTCACTATTCATACCGTATATACCAATGAATACTTAGTGTCGAGAAAGGTCGGGCTTTATCCTGACATTCGAAAAATCGAGACGATGGTCTTTGAAGAAAACGTTCAAGCTTTAATGTGAATCATTCGCCAAGGCTGATTATGCGTGAGAACTTCCTGCTAAATGAACCCAGATTTTCTCTTCACGCTCCTGGTCTCACCCTTTCTTCGAGCAAAATAACACGGATTTGACCTCATTTCACTCTGTCAATGATTCGAATTTGAGCAGAACATGATGGGTGGCTCACAACATGCGTCGAGTGACGACTCCGATTATGTCGAAACCACCAAGGTAAAGCATTTCTTTACGTAGACGTTAGCGATCTTTTCTTACATCTTTAGCGAAGTCTCGTCAAAAACGCCCACGAAAACGCAGAAAGCACGCCCATAAGCCCGATCAGGGACAAGCATCTGTCGCAGACAGAGTAGCTCTCATTGTCGCCTCACTGTTGGAGGTCCTCCGAAACGACTACGCTGATGATGACGACGCGTTCGACGACCTCGTGGAACCATTACTCAAAGAATGTATGCAAGCTCGCAACGCGTATTTAGAGACCTTTATCGATGTGGATGAGACCGTACGTCCTGGCTTGAAATTATCAACGTAGGAATCTCGCTCATACGCTCGACTGCAGGGTCGAAAGATTCGGCCATTGCAGAGAGAAGAGGTCGCCACACTCATTGATGATATCTCTAAGAAAGATAAGCCTTCACCTCTCGAAGGAATAGTTGTTCGGAAGCTCAAGTTGGAGCTGGTGTGTTTCCTCTCTTGCAACAAACTAACCTATCTTTCTGACTCTGTGGTCTAGAAGAAGCAGTTAGGCCTCAAGACCGGCGAAATACTCGTGGAAGACACGCCATTGACACCTCTACCATCCTCTGTGGACCCTCCTTCGGTCAACTCCGAAGTCCTAGACGCGCTCTACAACATACAAACCACGCCATCTCACAATTCCTTCCTCTCAAGATTGCACGGGACAAAGCAGGATATGCCCGAGGGAGTCATCGCAGTGGATTGGGAGACGAGGACGCCTTGGATGGAGCTCATGATGGACATCCGAGACCACTACACGCTGGCTCAGTACGTTGACTCTTTCCTTCACCTCACCTTCATCTGACATACAACATTTACAGCCCCGAAAGAGAAAACCCAGTTGAAGAAATTGCTCCAATTACCTACTCAACCCTCCATGCTACCCAACTACCTCAAGTCCATGACCTCCTGGAGCGGTCTTTCTGGGCGGGGATAGATGGTGCGAAGATCATTCTCTCCGACCTTCTGGCGCTTATTCGGTTGTTCTGGACGTCAATTCAGTCGCGGATTCACTGGACTATGAGCCCGAAAAAGTTACCGTTGTCGCAATGTACAAGAAAATCGTTGTCGGCGTAGCGATAATGAACTCTCCGCGGGAAACCTACATCACTTTTCTGGCAGTGAAATCAGGTTGGGACAAGTCTCAGATCGGACGGTTCGTGGACATGTCACTGGGGTTATCTCCTTTTTAACGCATATATTCCTTGCAGGACGATGTTGTATCACCTCGTTACTATGAACCCGCACAAAGACATCACGCTGCACGTCTCAGCAAACAGCTCAGCCATGGTATGTTCTTCGACGCTCAAGAAACATGTTGGGAACGCTGATTAGTGAAATAGCTTTTGTACAATCAATTTGGGTTCAAAGCAGAAGAATTCGTTGCAGGCTTCTATTCCAAGTACCTGGACCAGCGGTCGCGCGCCTCCACGAATGCGTTCAAACTGCGACTTCGAAAATTGCAGAGCACATAATGTCGGATCGAAGAAGAAACTGAGATTGCGTGCTATAAGTAAAGTAAAGATGGCTAGTGACGCAAGGTGTGTATGTGATGCGAGATATCAATGAACAAGAAATACTCATCGTCGAAGTCTGTGTCTTCGTCTTTGTTAGGTTGTCAGATGCTTCTCAAGGAAAAGTGTCATGGCTTTCTCAAATAGCGCATTTCATCTTTGCCATGGGCTCCAACGTAGCTGCGGGAGGGTGCTCAGCAAAGGAGATGGTCGCAGCGTTAACTCAACCACTTCCGATGGTGCCTGCAGGTGCAATACCAGTGACAGCAACGTTCTGCAGCCCACCCATCGACGACCGACGCAGCGCTTCTTGAGTGCACTGACCTCTGGGTCCGCTGCCTCGTACTTGTGCGTAGAACATGAATTACCCCCCAAAGCACCACCACTGAAGAGCTTACCGGAGCTCGTTGGGACCTTGAAACGCCTTCCCTCCTACATCAGTATCTGCATGATTCTCCCACTCGGCGGACCCTTTGTCCTTCACCACAAGCTGCTTCACAGGCGCCTTGAACTCGTTCTTCGGCTTCTCAATCTTCGGTTTCGCATGGGGTCGTCCTTGGGCAGACCTCTTACACTATGTGTTTTATTGTGAACGGATACTTACTTCCTGTCGTTTGCGTGCCAGACGCCCGTAGGCTACCTCTGGGCTAAACCCGCACGGTCGGGCTACCCCGTGGGCTCACATAAGCACCCTCTCACAACGTGAGAAGACGATTTGACGGTCTTGGTACGAGACTAGGGCTGCCCGTGACAATCCCTAGCTTCTGATACTTGCCTCATCGAGCAACGAACCTGCAGCGAACCACGACCACAAGCGAAACGACATGTGTTCTGCTGAATTAAGCGGTCTTCTCACCTCACGTGGATGCTCTTTGGGCGGGCCGGAAGCTGCGATAACGTTCTACAAATAATGGATAGGCCGGTAGTGTGGGCTGCTCTGTTTCTTCCCCTCTTGCGGACATGAAGTTGGGTGTGACGCTGGTGCTTGGTCTTGCGTTTGGTAGCTCGACCGCTCTGGCGGGCAAGCACATCAAGGGGCTCTCAAAGAATGCACAGGAACTGTGAGCTCGTACAGTCCATTATTGGGTCCCAGCGCTAATTTTTTTGCAGATTCGATATTGCAATGACCTATAATGATGATGGATGGGACTCGATTCGTGGGGTGACTGGGGGTGGAAGTGCTCGGGCTACCGCATGGTGCGTCGCTATCTGTTGAAGCCGACAATTTTGTTTAATGTTTAGTCCAGGTACGCTGTTGGTCTCCTTGCGCGCAACGATGGGCTGGATGTAGCGATTGCCCGTGACATCATCGACCGCGAGATCGACGCTCAATATACCGTTCCTGGTAATCCCTGGTACGGGACATACAAAAGGACATTCGAGGAGCCGATTCCAGGGACCTCACAGTATCCCGCGAGAATCTACGTGAGTGCTGTGCATAGTGTGCGACGGCCATTAACTGACGGATACGATGCATGGTGTTCTAGACTGGGTAGGCTAGTATTATCACAAAAGCATAACTTTCATAACCAATGTTCATTTCAGCGCGAATTTGTTGGAACTGCATTTATTTTCGCCATTGAAGAGTATTCAAACTTGCTTGGCAAAAGCTTGGTCGACAAAATGCTTGTTAGGTTTGTCTATCAGGGCTCCTTTCATTCAATTACTTATCACAGCCTTTGTAGTCTGAAGCATGCAGTCTTGGGCGGGCTGACTCGCGTGGGCCTGGATGGAGATAATTTGGATTTGCTGTATACCAATCCCGCATTAATGCGTGCATTTTCAACTGGATGGCTAGGGTATGCAATGAAATGTCGCTGGAAGGCCACAAACGTTTCTCACCAGATTCCCCCAGGCATCGCATCGGGGACGCAAATTTCACGCAAACAGCTGAACGAGTAAGTGAAAGAAATTTGTATGTTAAATTATACATGACGCTTATTGTTTTGCCTTGCAGGAAGCGAAGTCGTTGTACGAAATTTACCAGACATCAAACAATTCACTTCCTGAATTCAACGCGTGAGCTTCTGCTTCGTCCGACTATGCTCATTCGCGTGCTAATTTGGCGGTTTCAGTCCGACTTACTATGGAATCGACATGTGGGCCCTCTCTCTATGGAGCAAATACAGCCCATCCGATAGCAGTCTTGCCAAGTATGGCCCATTGATGCTCTCCGGTCTCTGGGATACCATGGGAGAATATTACAATTCCAACTTGAAAAACTTTGCCGGGCCCTATGACCGGACGTACGGCAATGGTAAGCCACTGTTGGTCTGAATAATCCGATTTCAGGACCTTAATCGAATCTAGATATGACTACGTACATGGCGGTAATTGGTCTATACCAATCCTGTGTCACCGGCAAGGCCAACGCACCGCTTCCGCCCAAGCTCTATGCATCCAAGCACATCGACGATTGGGCTCAAGGACATCTCATTGCGCTTACCTGCGATATAGCCTTGAAATATGCAAGCTCCGAGGCCAAGTCCGCCATGACCAAGTTTACCAAACCACGATACTTGGAACGTTATATCCGATCGAGGTATGTCGCCACCACTAAGTACCTCCAGGCGCCTAAACAGTTTTTAGTGAAATCAATGACACCCGCCGACCAGTCACAACTTGGATCGAAGACTGGGCGATGCTCGGTGGTGAATCGATAAGCGAGACGGTCCACGTTAGAGGAGACCAGTTCATACCAGGACTGGTCCAGTGGTCCCCCAAAAGGGGCTACATCTCATGGATTGCCTGGTCGCAGTCTGCCAACTGGCTATCTGGGGTCGTGGGCAACTCGAGTTGGGGCCAACCAACTCTAACACTGTCGTATCCGAATCGAACTATTCCTGGGACCGAGCGGTTTACGCTTATGACTGGTGGACTTCCGTATGTGCCTGGGTCAAACATGACTTGGCCTGGGTTCGAAGGGTTGCCTGGGATCAAGTTGAAAGTCACCACGACTGGGGTCGATGCGCCTTCGACTTATTTCAGCAACTCAGCTCTCCATGAGTAGTACGTCGCGTTTCTTCTGATGCCCTGTTTCGATGGCTGACATTTAGCTGCATATTAGCCTTTATTGGAATACTACATACCAGGTTTCTTCCGGCTTTGCCGGAATTCCTTCCATCTCTTTCACGCTCGCCGAAACTGCCAAACCACCCAGCTCTTGAGGATTGCGTGACTAGCTACTTTGGGGCTGTTTATGACCTACGGACCAGATTGCAATTCATACGAAAACCATGATAAGAATATTCTCTATCCCTTTCCTTCATTTCAATGATTGTGGCATTCTATTGGCGTTGGTGGACATATCGTGCGTATCGGATTGCGTGTTATATCAGGTATAGGTGGCTGGTTATAAGTACAAGGTGCGTGTGGAATGCCAGATATCAATGAACGAGAATCCTAATCGTAAAAATAGACGTCTTTGTCTTCGTTAGTTCGTCAGATGCTTCTCAAGCAATTGTCCTAGACGGCGCGCTTCATCTTCGCCTGATCCTCCTGGCTGCCTTCCTCCGTTGTGTCGACCGTCATCGCCCTCTTCCGGACGATCTGCCTCTCTACATTCACGTTCCTGCTTGCCAACATCTGAAGCGGGACCATCGTCCCAGGGTTTCCCGCACTAACACGACGCTTCACACCCCCACGCCCCTGGAGCGTGCTGGGCAAGTTGGGCTTCCCAACACCGCCTAACGCGCCGTACTTCTCGAAGCTGGTCTCCGTCGTGGGCGACGGGGGTGGGGCAGGTGGGAACGTGGAGAAGGTCGCTGCAGTGGGGTGTTCGGCGGAGGAGATGGCGGCTGCGTAGACCCAGCCGCCGCCGATGGTGCCTGCAGGACTAGTGCCAGTCTCGCCGAACGCGTTCAGCGGCCCGCTCATCGATGAACGACGACCGACACAGCGTTTCTTAAGTGCCCGGACCTCGGGCTGGAGGCCGCTACCTGGAGAGCGGGTGGGCAGAGGGCTAATTGCCCTCGAAGTACCACCAATAATGGACTGGCTGCGCTGGCGTGTTCCTCCGAAGACGCTGCCTCGCCTGCCGGCTCCAGGGCTCGTCGGAACCTTGAAGCGCATAACACCTTCCTCTTCCTCTACGCCTCTTCCTCCATTTTCATCATTCTCCTTCTCAGCGGACCCCTTCGCCTCCGCCTCACGCTGCTCTGCAAGCGGCTTGAACTCATTCTTCGACTTCTCGAGCAGCTCCTTGACCGCACGCGCCCAGTCGTCCTTGGGGTATAGCTTGTGCACCATGTGCTTGAATGTGAATGGGTAATTCTTTTCGTCGGCAAGCGGGAACTGCGCGAGCGACTCCTCGTCGACGTCGCTGCCGCCCTCGATGTCTGAGACGGCACTCTCGCCCGACGCAGAGGCGGCGCTCATATCGCTCGCGTGTCGCGAGCCGGAGATGGATGCCACCGTGTTGCGCCGCGGGTGGCGAGTGTACTCGAGGCGTGGCTTGCGCACCCCGGCGGCGGCGATGGTGGAGAGATTCTTGAGGACGGGGCTGAAGTCGTCTGGGAAGGGCAGGAGACGTTGTCTCTCGTCGCGTTCATTATCCGTCGTGTTGTTGTCATTGGTCGAGGCCGTAGTCGTGCGAGCGCGTCGGGACGCGAGGCGGTCGAACAGGTTGAAAAGCCGCGCGAATTCGGCAGCCTTTGCGTCAGACGTGGGCATAGTTGGCATTATAGTGGATGTGGATAGTGGGGTATGGGGTATAGGTGTGCTGGTGAATAGATGCCGTGCCGGTGCGCTGTGTCGAGGGAACCACGTTCACTCGAAGAATTATGAAGACAAACAAGTCTTCTGACTCCTGAGGAACATTCAAGAAGGAGTGGCGGTTTATATATATTTCTTTCCGCTGTGGCATCCATCCACTGACACTTGCCTGATCTGATCGAGCGAGTAGGCCACTGGGCCACCGTGGCCGTTTAGCCGAATCCGAACGCTTTTGTATCATGCTCGACGGGCCATTTGTTCCTCTGCAAGCTTCATTTGATTCGAAGTCGCCAAATGCTTTGACCACGAGTCGTCAAGGAAATACATTTCGTGCAGCGGTTACAATACGATGAAGAGAGAACGGTGAGGAATGCTACAAATGTCCGACACCGAGGGGGTGTGATCCGGTTTCTGGGAATGGTAAGTAGTGGGTCCAAGTATGCATGGGAATAAGTAATCAACGGACTCTCTGGACCGTGATAGTCTCCGTTCGAAGGACTTCGAGGACGGTGCTTTTCATGTTGGCAGAGCTGCAAGAGCAGGTCGGTGTATTCTCTTTTTTCTCGGGTGCTGCTGGTTTCGCCGAATTCGGGCCCGGGCGCCACTCCAGGTACGTTGACGGGAGGGCTCACGAGAGGGTTCAGCATGCGTACTATCAACAGCGCGAGGAGAAAAAATTGGAGTAGAAGTGAGGGTTGGCCGAGAGCAGGCACAGGAGGAAGGAGTGGAGATGGCTTTTATGAACCCCAGCAAAAATGATTTTGTGGCATGAGTGTCTCGTTCTTAAATAGATGAATACATATACACCCACTTACACATTGAGTGCCAAGATGGGTTCATACTGCAGAAAGCTGCTGGGACACAATCCTTCCTCTCTTCACGCATCCTTTGCATGTTCTTCATTCCATTCCTGCAGTCTGCTAGTGACGCTCTGCGAGTTCTTCCAAAACGTCTTAGGAGACTCAAGACCTGTTCGTCTGCTCGTTAGGAGGGCCTCCCTGAAAATTAGAATTGAGCAAGCTGAACGCACTATCAAATGATGGCCAAATGCCCGGCGTGCAAATGTCACGACCAATAGCAGCCAGTGTTTTGTCTGAGGGTGTCACTGGGCTCCTCATTAACTCCTGCTCATCAACCCCATCCTCGATAACGATCATGAAATTGATACTGTCGTCCGGTTCGTAGCCATTTTGAACGTATTTGTAGGCATCCCTCGGGATAGTGTTGACGATGGGGATCACCCAGTCATCTGGCCGGCCGTTTGGTTCGAGGGGAACAGTTTTCTTTATCTTGGACATGTCGAGCCTGTAACCCTTGAGAAAAAGAGTCATCGTATGCGAAGATTATATGCGGAATCAGGGTGCGAGTATTGACTAAAGGATGATGAATGACGGAGGAAGTTAGGAACAGGATGTGTTGAAGTCGCATCATTCACGCGAAACATTACGCGTGGCGCACGTGATGGCGCAAGCTCAGCGTACCTCAGGCTACGAGCGCTTCATCTTGTCTCCTATCGATATCACGATGGCAAGACCCACCTTCAGGATTTGTGAAATGTGGGACTCTAGCATCTCCACACATAGTTATTGATGTGATCTTCTCTTCATAGCCAGATGTCGCTCACAAATTACTGGAAGAATATTAGTCTCAACTTTGTGGACAACAATCCGAAGGAAGACGTAGCGCCATTCAAGTTACGCTTTAGGGGGGAAACGAAGCGATCGACTGAGGAGATGAAGGAACTACCGCCTCCAAGTTCGATTATCGATAGCGATTCAAGTGAGGGCCGCTTTTCACACTCTCTACTTTCAAGCCCAGGATCAGGCTAAGGCAGATACCCGATACTTGGCGGTACAGTGCAGTGGATACTGCTTATTGGGCCGTACTGGGTTCCACTTGCCTGATTGAAGAGGCCACTGGGTCACCGCAAAATTTCCATAGCCATACGTCTAGCCAAACGCCTTTGCCTCATGCTACGGGCCATTGTCCGTTGGGACTCTTCAAGTTCAAGCCTTATTTGACAGCGTCAAATGATTTGGCCACATATCGTCAAGGGAATACAATTTCGTGTGGTTGCAATACGATATATAAAGAAACCGAGCAAGGCTACAAACGCCGAACAGCGGGTGTGCACGTATGATTGGGCTTCTGGGAATGGTAAGTAGTGGGTCCAAGCATGGATGAGTATCAGTATCGGGTAAGTAATTAATCAAGGAACTCTCTTGATCACAATACTCTCCGCCCGAAGGACTTCAAGGACGGTGCGTTTCAAAACGGCGGGACTGCAAGAGCACCTCGCCGTACTCTCCTTCTTCTCCATGGGCACAGATTTTGCGGCGGGCCGTTTCGTCTTCACAAAGGCCAAGGCGACACTGCCCAACCCAGGCGATCCTTCGATCTCGTCACTACCGTCGCCTTCTCCAACGCAGCACATGCAGAAAGCAGTAGCCCATGTTATTCTGGAGAGAGAAGGAAGGTAGCAAGCGAGATAAAAACTCGCGATAAGTTCGCGTTCCTGAGTGCTTCGCCTGTATTTCAAACAGCTTTTGCAGCCTGAGATACTCGTCACGGTAGAAGGATCGTCTTCGTTATTTCCGTGAGTAGTGTGAACGTCTAGAAGGTGATAGTGAGAGAGGAATATTCCAAGGGAGATCTCTCGGAGGTGTTTCAGAGGGCTGAGAGCCATTCCGAAAACAATCTTGTAAGAAAAGTGATAGTTCAGCACAAGATCATCCACGAATGTTTGCTCAAGATTTCAACGAGAGGACTCACGCCTAAATCCCGAGCATCACGAAACCATTCAGGGATAGGCGAGTGCACTATCCTGCTCAGACTTCCTTCATAGCACGTCGGACAACAGTCTGTTTCCAAGGCTCTCGCAGCATCGAGGACGAGCACAGTCAGACGAGGGAAGTTGTGAGAGATGAGTGTCAATATATGCGTGTCCACGCGCGCAAGTTTGGTCAGAATGAGCTCGGTCAGATTGGGGAACGGTCTTCCGCGCTCCACCACGTTGAAGAGGTTAGTAGCTGATGATCGCTGGGTGAGCAAGGTCGTATGAGAGAAATCGACGCGAAGAATTTTGAGGGACGTTAGATGAGTGACGGCATGGACTCGGAGCGATACCATGAACGAGGGAATGAAGATAGACCTAATATATGCGCGATAAAAAGGTTATTCGGAGTGTTTTGGACCTGATATTAATGCAGCGAAAGAAGACGGACCTGAGCCAGGTGCTGCCGCCGTACCATCCTCGCATCCGAAAGAAGTTCTCAACGAAAGTGAGAAATCCGCAGAGGCGTTTCGCCCCCTTTGAGCAAACGAAGCTGATCTCCCTCCTGCACACCTCTCGTACAGTGAGGAAGAACGTGTCTCGTGATACGGCCACCAAGGCCGCGATTTTCGACAAGCTTTCGGTGTTGAACGAGTATTCGGTGCTGGGCGAGTCCGGCCAGCTTGGCTGCATTAATCCAGTAATGTAGAGCACGATGATGCGTTCCAAGATTTCCGTAGGCACAACCGGTTTCGCAAATGCTCAGGTCGATACGGCATTGCGAGCAAACGAGGACGTTCTAGTGCGCAGGAGATTCAGACTGCTGCGACGGACGACGCTGCGTGTTCCGAGATTGGACACATCTACAAAAACGTCTTCAGAGAGTCGGAGCTTGATGGGCATTGTCCCAAGTGTTCACAATCCAGATTCGAGGAAAGACTTGGAATGGGCTGGTCAAGAAGGCTCACATCCGACAACGCTCATTTTTTGCCTTTTCTGCGAGGTCCTGGAAATTTGTCCGATTTTACACCAACTTGGATACGTTTGCTCAACTTTTAGGCCCAAAGTAGAAATGCGCCACTCTGGATCATAGAGAACAAGGGTCCTTTCCTGCGTTTCTGCCACTGTGCCCTCTTTATTTACGAGAAACGAGCAGCAGGTCTGAATTTGAAATTGCATACAACAAAAGACATACCGGGCGCACGCTATATCTAACCACGTCGACCTCTCCTCGTGCAGAAAACAGGGGGAATTGAGCGTTCAGATCTTATGCCGCTCTACTGATCACGAGAGGGAGCCTCGGCTTAACGCTGTCATGGTCGGGGTGAGGGAGAGCGACAGCCGTCATTTGCCAGACGACTGGTTCTTTGGATGGCGTGAACTCGAGCTGATCGAGCAGGAGGGCAAGCGCAACCTCTGCAGATTTGTTGTTGAATAAGCAGTCAACATGCGCAAGAGAATCAACTCACTCATTTCGAGCTGCGAGAATTTGAAGCCACTGGTCATGAATACGTTTAGCACGCAGGAGAAACGAAGAAGGCGGTCAAGCTCACATGCAAGACCTCCCACCGGCGAAGAATGTAAGCCTAGATAGGCCAGGTTAGGTTGGTACCACAGCATGCTAGACGACTTAATCTTACAAGTGTGAATATACGCCTGGGATACGAGCGTTGATCACAGTATCCGGGAGTCTGTTCAACCACCTTTCAGGCTTCCACTCGTAAGAGTCCGGACCCCAATGGCGAGGATTGGTGTTCGAAGAGATTATGGAGACAAAGACAGTGGTACCATTGGGCACTGGTATTTCGTGTATGTCGGTTCCGTCGATTCCTTTGACAGGTGTTGCTAACGGTAAGACCATGTCCGCCCGAGCACTGACAACAACCATCAGCTTTGACTTTGTAACATATATCCGAGGGGTACATACACTCGTAGCAGATACGGAGCAGGCGGATACCTTATTGTGGAGTACGTCAGAAAATGTTCGATTGTATTTAGAAGCTTCTGCACCTACAAGCGAAGCGTTTCTCTGCAGACGGCGTCAAGGAAAGGAAGAGAGACCAAGGTGTCATAGTCGATATCATGGCCTCCGTTGTCTTCTTTGGCTCGCCTGATTTCCTGTCGGACCCGGTCTTGGTAATCCTTGTTTTGGGCAAGGAGAGACAAAATACGCGACAACGCAGATGAAGTCGTGTCAGTGGCCGCAAAGGTAAGAGACCTGAAAGGTTCCAGTCAGAAGAAGGATGGCTAAGATAGCACAAAAACTCACGCTACTTGACCATGGAGCTCCTCATCGGTCAACTTATCCTCGAGCGAGGCAGTCATATTGGACTTCACTATTGGGTTGTCAATGACAACGAAACCACTCAAGAAGAAAAACACCCACATAGGATGCTCATGATATCCTTTCCATGGCCGACCTGCGCCTTCATTGCCTCGTCACCTGCAAGAATGGCCTTCTTCTTCTCCTTAAGGATCTCATCTGCCGTGCCGTTCAGTGTGTCTATAACATCGCGGAATCCCTGCAGGTCCTTCCACGGAACCCAGTTCGCCAAGAAACGACCGACCCTCGGGCCCGCGAAACGGGCCATAATAGGCGCTATTACCTCTTTCGCAACGCTTGCAGGAAACCCGCCTGAGAGCGGCCTAGCCACGATTACGTTAGAGGGACGAAGAAAAGCAGTCAAGGTAATACATGCATGAACTGTTTCGACGCGATCCCGTATGGATGTGGGGTCGACCCTTCTTCTAATGTATCGAAGGTGTATCCAAGTCCGCTTTGACCAATGAGTTCGAGTGCAAGTCGAGTGTTCCACTCTAAGATGTCAATCTATGGCAAGGTCAGACCATCTGTCATGTTTTGCTGAGACTGCATACCTCTTTTGGACCGTTTGCCGTCATCTTCCTGAGAGTATTTTCGAGCTATGAAGTACAGTGAGAGACAAACTCTACGGCAGAGCACTCATTTTACCTTGTGCGAAATTTCGTAAAAGAGTGGAACTATGAAATCAGGTGAGCCAGACATGAGGAGAGCAATCAGGAACCTGAAACTTACCCATCTCACGCATATGAGCAATTGAAAAGACGGGGTTGAGCATCTTCCGATGGAGGCGATGACGGTCTCCTAAATACCCCATGAATGCCCTGTGCACGTACTTCAGGAAAGGGTGTACGCGTACCGAGTGCAGTAAAAAAGCTTTCCCCAAAAGTAAATTTATTGGTCCTGATTGTGGCGTGAGGGCATTAGAGACAACTTAACGGAAAGCGCGACTGACTTGAGGAAGCCTGCTGTCTCTTCATAGATGTCTTGGTCCTGAGTCGCAGGAGTAAGAACATATTTGCTTTCGAGTGGAAGTTTGGCATACTTTGACGAGAATATGGTGTACGGCCTTTGGATCGTAGACGTAAAGGTTGTTGGCCTAACGATGAAGAGCATTAGTCCAGGAGGCAGGGCTCTAGCAAGGAGGATTTTTTACCCCAAATAGACCCTTAACTCGGATCATCTCTCCGTCTTCCGGCCGTGCATTAGGTCCTCCAATGACAAAGGCTGAAAAGATAAACACTCACAAGTTTCCGATATTTGGCGGTGGTAATCCCATGCGCCCCGACCAAACAGCTGTTCCCAAGAACCTAGAGATAACAGAGGTGAATCAGTTAGGCCAGCCATCAGTGCTAAATTTTGAAGAGCCATTGCTCACCAAAAAGCCAAGACTTGGCTGGCGGCCCCGGCAAATTATCGAGAGCTGTCGCTCGGAGGCGACGGCGAAAACCCACAAGCAAGTTGCGAGGACTCCGATTCCAATAGCGCGTAAGATGGTAGAATCCATGGTGTGGATGGGTGGACTGGGCGACGTTTTTCTTTAATATTCCGACTAGTTCAACTGCTGAGACAGAGTGCCCCACGTAAAGCCGCAGAAGGTCGGACATCACCTCTACTTCGATTTCCAAGACCATGAGAAGAAAGAGATTCTGTGACAGCCGATTCAGCTTCCGTCTTCTCTGCAGCTTCGCTAGGCTTGCGGAGCAGCCGATAGGCCAAACATGACTTCATCAGGCTGTCGTCATGCCAGGGCTTGGGAAACGAGGAATTAACAACACCCCGCAAAAATAGGAGGGGTGCTCACTACGATAACCACATCACGGCCGTTCGTAGCAATAGCTGAGTGCCTGAAGCTGGGTCTCAACTATTTAATGGCCTAAGCTGTTGAGTCACTTGATGTAGGGTTTTGAGTTTGAACTGGAGAGGGCCGGATCTGATTCAAAGGTTTGGGGTATTGAAGCCTAAGGTCCGAGTCGGCTCAGTGAAAGAAGCTACTAAACAACCTTCTCAAGGCACCACTGCATGACACGTCCATCAGTCAGTGGACTTGACTGAAGTTAGTGATTATCAATCTCATAGTTTGACAACGGTCCTTACCCAGTGGTACTTGCGCGATACTATGGAAAATTGACATAGCGTCATGAAACTACCGTGCGATCCGGGCGTAATTTCTGCTTATGAAGGGCTCATTCAGCGGAGTATTGAAAAGGAGATGAATAGGAATCTAAGCGGACTCGTATTAGACGCGGTCACAGTAGCAAGAACAATGATGTATACTTACTCCATACATTTTGATTTTTTGGATTATCCAAGGGTGACCTGGGCTTATTGAAAAGGAAGAGTGGTCGAGCAGCTCCTGCTGTGAGAACAACAGAGCTCAGGCATGTTCGAGCACGCCCAAAAATGAAGTCAAGCCGTGGCAGTTCCCGCTTATTGCAAAGAAGCTCGAGAGTACTTCGATGCATTCAGGGTGCTCGCCAAGTCTTTGGCCATAAGGCAAGACCAATAAAATTGAAATGCCAATGGAGTTCCGCTGATCCTGATCGCCTACAGGAATCAAGTCGCTCTCACGCAGATCCTTTCATAAATATGTTCGCGAGTGCTGAAATTAGTGAGCATGAAAGTGAACAATGTTTTATTTATTTCACTTACTTAAGCAGTAAGAAGCTTTCGCGACCCAGAGAAAACCATCCGACAAAGGATGAATAAGGTCTCGTGGTCCGTCGTGATTCCAGCGTTTCCGTTGCGTGGCTTCTCCTTCTGCGACTGCAAGCTCTAATCGCCCAAGAGCCAACGGCGGCTTTCTTTCCACCCCAGCAGATCGCTGACCTTCCAAGAGCCGAGAGAGTTTGCTCCTGGTTGTCGTTCCCACTCGAGTTGTATCTGCTTGAACCTAAAAGAATCACCGTCAGAACTGGAAGATTGGTCCGGGGACAAAGACGACGGAAGTCGCACTGCGCAAAGGAACTCTGCGAGCCATTTGGACGCGTACAAGCGTGCAGGGGGGGAGTGGGGGGGCGGATGAGACACGTCATCAACAGCAAGTGCAGGAACTTTGGCCTTCAGGATGTTCTGCTCGTTGCTCGAGACCTCCACAGTAGCCAGCCTAGAACCTAGAGGTTCCGCAGCACTTTGTCTTCGTAGTCAGGAATTGTCGGAACCCAGCAGGATCGTCGTCGCTATCCTCATCGTCGACAGCCATCTTGGTGACTAGTATCTTGAATATTCGTGCTCTCGACAAGCTCCTCGCGATCATGGCACTTTTGGATTAATCACCGCCTTCATAATCGACTCGGTGTTGGACGCCTCTACTCGTTGAGCGCGTCAACCTCGGCCAGTGTCGGCCAAATCGCGCTTGCAGACATCGACCGCCTCCTCTTCTCCAGAAATGGACAATTAGATTCGCTGTCAATTGTGAGATCTCGATGCCGCTGGCCGCCCGCTACGTTTGGGCTTCACCAGTGGGTTCAGGCCGAATAGGTCGATAGTGTGGAGATTTGACGGAGTCGCGTTCGAATGCGGATTGCACACGTTGTTTCCCGTGATGACGATGACGCGTCGCCCACGTAATCGATCGGCCCTGTCTAACCCAGACCCCAAATGGTCATGCGCCACTTTGGATCCACTATAGACTAAGACTTAGCACACTAGTAAGTGAGCCTCTGGGCCAAATCATTCAAATAACTGCACTGATGTAATTCTATCGTTGCTACCTGATTCACCGAGCTTCTCGCCTTCGAAGGACAAGGAAGCCCATTGTCAGATGACTCACGAACAATAGAAGTGATAAAGTGTAGCTTTTGCTAATTGTGAAGAGGGCCCTTGAGAAAGGGACTGCACCACAATGGCAGGCTTCGTGGTAGCCGGCGTCAAAAGTTCGTGAAAACCGTTATGAACGCATTGTGGTAAATTTGAGTTGGGAAATACATCAGACGACAGACATATTCTGCGAATGCTACCATGTCCTCGTTATCCACACGTCCCCTCCTTAGGCATGGACTTTGGGAGAATAACCCTCTCATCTCACACTGCTCTGCTGATTACGAGAGGAAGCCTCGGCTGAACACTTTCGTAATCCGGATGAGGAAGGGAGACAAGCGTCATTTGCCAGACGGTGCGTTCTTTGGAAGGGGTGAAATCGAGCTGGTCGATCAAGAGTGCCAGCGCAACCTCTGTAAATTCGTGAATAAGCCGTCGATGTGTGTCAGGGAGAGGCTCAACTTACTCATTTCGAGTTGCGAGAACTTGAATCCACTAAGCATAGATACACTTAGCACATAAGAAAATCGAAGAGATGCCCAGGCTTACATGCAAGACCTCCCGCCGGCGAAGAATGTGAGCCTAGAAAGGTTGCGTCAGGTAGGCCATAACAGCAACCTGGACACCTGGACTGGATCTTACAAGTGGGAATACACTCCAGGGAGACGTGCATTGGTCACGGTATCTGGGAGTTGCTCCAACCACCTTTCAGGTTTCCACTCGTAGGAGTCCGGTCCCCAATATTTAGGGTTTGTGTTCGAAGAGATTATGGAGACGAATATTTTGGTACCATTGGGGACTAGTATTTCGTGTATGTCGCTGCCGTCGATTCCTTTGACAGGAGTTGCTAATGGTAAGACCATGTCCGCCCGAGCGCTGACAACCACCATTAGCTTTGTCCGTGAAACACCTATCGTGGTGGGCACTTACATTCGTAGCAGATACGGGACGGGCGGATACCTTATCGTAGAGTATGTCAGAAAATGCTCAATCACGTTTAGAAAGCCTTTGTGATTACAAACGCAGTGTTTCTCGGCAAATGGCGTCCAGATAAGGAAGAGAGGCCAAGGTGTCATAGTCGATGTCATGGCCCCCGTTGTCTTCTTTGGCCTGCCTTATTTCTTGTCGGACCCGGGCTTGACAATCCTTGTTTTGGGCAAGGAGATATAAGATACGTGACAACGCTGACGAGGTCGTGTCGGTGGCCGCAAAAGTCATGGAGCTGAAGGGTTCTAATCAGGGGAAGGCAGACTGAGATAATACAAAAACTCACGACACTTGACCATGGAGCTCCTCGTCAGTCAACTTGTCCTCGAGCGAGGCAGTCATATTAGACTTCACTATTGGGTTGTCAATGACAATGAATCTACTCAAGAAGGAAAACGCGCACATAAGATGCTCATGATATCCTTTCCATGACCGACCTGCGCCTTCATTGCCTCGTCACCCGCGAGAATAGCCTTCTTCTTCTCCTCAAGGATCTCAGCTGCCGTGTTATTCATCAAGTCGATAACATCGCGAAATCCACGGAGCTCCTTCCAGGGAATCCAATTTGCCAAGAACCGACCGACCTTGGGCCAGCAATACGAGAAACAACGGGCGCTATAATCTCTTTCGCAGTGTTTGCATGGAACCCGCCCGATAGCGGCCTAACCACGGTTACGTTAGAGACACGGAAATATGGAGATTATGGTAGGACGTACATGACCTGCTTTGAGGCGATGCCGTATGGATGTGGGGTCGACCCTTCCTCTAACGTATCGAACGCGTATCCAAGACCGCTTTGGCCGATGAGTTCGAGCGCCAGTCGGGTGTTCCATTCTAAGATATCGACCTATCATCCGGTCAGACCAACCGTCATGCTTAGATGAGAGCTTACCCACCTCCTTTGAACCATTTGTCGTCATCTTAACGAGGGTATTTTCGAGCTATGAATTGTATGAGCATTTTAGAGACGTCAAGCATGGTCTCATTATACCTTGTGGGAAATTTCGTAAAAGAGGGGAACTGCGGAAAGCAAGTGGATTAGGAAAGAGGGAAACAATTGCGAACTTAAAATTTACCCATCTCCCGCATATGCGCAATTGAAAAGACCGGGCTGAGCATCTTCCTATGCAGGCGATGGCGGTCCCCTAAATAGTCGATGAATGCACTGTTCGCGTTTTTCGGAAATGCTCGAGTATTTGTGCGCTTACCGAGAGCAGTGAAAAAGCTATCCCCAAAGGTTAACCGAGTGGTTCTAATTGGCGCGCGCATCGGTATGATTGATGCAAAATGAGGGAAATATAGCTCACTCGACGAAGCCTGCTGTTTCTTCGTAGATGTCTTGGTCCTAGTCGGCAAGAGAAAGTCTTGGTGAGAAGACGTGATTTCATTCCGAATTAATGGACGTGAAATAGTGACATACTTTGACGAGAATATGGTGCACGGCCTTTGGATCGTAGACGTAAAGGTTGTCGGCCTAATGGCGAAGACTCTTAGTCTGGTAGACGGGTTGTGAATGAGGAGATGTTTAATTTACACCAAATAGACCCTTAATACGTATGGTCTCTCCATCTACCAGCCATGCATTAGGTCGTTCAGTGACAACGTCCGAAGAGTAGAACACTCACAAGTTTCCGATATTTGGCGATGGAAATCCCAGGCGTTCCGACTGAACAACTGTTCCCATGAGCCTAGACGTGAATCACAGCGGTAAATCAGTTGAGCGTACCAACAATGCTAGATGATGAGGGGTGATCACTTACCAAAGAGCCAGGATTTGGCTGGAGGCCCTGGTAAATTGTCGAAAGCTGTCGCTCGGAGGCGGCGGCGGAAAATCCACAAGCAAGTCGCGAGTGCTCCAATTCCGATAGCTTGTAGGATGAGGGAATTCATGTTCGGGGTGAGTATAGAGGGCGATACTGCGTCTCCTTTAATATTTCAACCCGTTTGAATGCTGAGACTTAATGGCCCACGTAAAACCGCGGCTATCGGTCCCACATCTACTCCCTAGATGTGTTGGACCATGCGAAGAAAGAGAATTCATGACAGCCGGTTCTTCTTCGCTGTCTTCTCTTTAGCGAACCCAGCCATAATACGAGGCCGGCGATACGTCGAAGGTGGCACAATCGGATTGTCATCATGCCAAGGCTGGTTAAACATAGAAACAAGGCCGAGTATTAACAATACACTACAATACCCCACAAAGATAGAGGACGTACTCAGTAGAACTGAGCCGCGGCCATTCGAAGGCAAGAAGGAATAACAAAGGGGAGTTTACGCCCGGCGTTCAGCTGTTCAATTTGGAAGCGCTTCAAGGTTTGGATACTGCAGTTTCTCGATGCTCCATATCGGTTTTTACGTCTGAGAGTTTTGTCAGATAGGGCAGCTCTTCAGCCGAGATCTACAGACTGGTGGGCAGTCCTAAGCAAGATGCATCGTCTTCTCAAGACGCCATTGGGTGACCAAATTCTTGTCAACCGTCTATCAAGCCAGAATATTGAATGAAATCAGTGCTTATCAATCTCGTCGTTTTGCAACTTGCCTTCAGTATGGTGAGACCAAGAGAAGTTGGACTTTCGAAGACATAACAATGAAGTCACCGTGGGACCGGGGCGTAATTTTTGCTTATGAAATATTGGTTCGACTCAAGCATGAGGCGAGCAACATACTCTAACAGGTGTAATAGCGAGAATGTGGGGTAAAGAAGAGAACCACACAAGTGAGAATCTATGAGAGCTCGTGTTAGGAACGGACTCGGTAGCAGGGAGCTGCACATACATTGCGACTTTTTGGGATACGCAGGGCCGGGCTTCTGGAACTGGTGTGTTTTCTTGGAGTATCTTGCGAAGCAAGGAGACGGCGCGGCTGCTCTGTGGGTTAGCTTTGACCCTTGGTGTGTTCTTCTCGTCGCTCGAGATAGCGACAGTACTATAGCCTGGTACGTTGCCTGCCGGGAACATTGGCGACGCTTTGGAATGGGCGTCTTCGTACTGACAGAGGAATCGCTAGAACTCAACAGGATCCTTATCGCTATCATCATCGTCGACAGCCATCTTTCTGCCCTCTCGCACTGACATATAGGATGCCACTTTCGCATTAATTATCGTCTTCGTGGTCGTACCACTGTCAGGGGACTCGGCGCTGGATGCCTCTATTCGTTGAGCGCGTAAAGCGTGGCCAGTGCTGGACAACTCGCGCTTGCAGATAGCGATCACCTCCTTTGACTATGCTCGGATGCGGAGAGAACCAATGCCGTTGTATTCGAAACTGCAGATACCTGACAGAACATCTTGAGAGACAGCTGGAGCTGCGTGGACGGTATTGTCCGAAGTCGTATTGATAAGCAAGAAAGTGGTGCGAACTTTGGAAAGCCAAGTCTAATTTCGGGCATTTTTGCCTGGTCCGCATTCGGGGATTAGTTCGTCCAACTGTCGATCTAAAAGCGATTAAACGCATACGCTCAGCACAAGAATGCACCTCCTATGTTGGTGTTTCCGGTGGTAAGGGTATAAATATAGCTGCTTAGGACATCTTCGGTACCTGACACCTGAACGATCGCGAGGAAGAATCTTGGACAGCGAGTGATTTATACGTTTATGTAGGCCAAAAAAAAAAAAGATAGGACGAGTGCAAACTATATTTCTTGTGGTGCATTGGAAGAACGAAGGAAGGGTGGAGGAGTGTCAATCAACTAGTATGTGATGCGTGCGCAGACACTCAAACCGCTACAAGATGTCTTCACGCAAGAATACTACCGTAAAAAAGGACTGCTTCTGTAAGAATAGACCCGTTGGGCGACGTAGGATTGGACTTACAAAGAGGAAAGATTGGTGCGAGGTGACTGAAGACGAAATTATTCAAATAAATGATGAATAGCCTCGCGACATGCGCGTCCTAGAGTAGACACACTGCGCGTATTAGCCCCGTCATTTATCTCCATGAGCAAGAGAGCATACCAAACATGGGCTCTCGTGCGAGGGTATCGGTCTGCGCGAACGCAAAGAACGACCAAGGAAATACGTGGGGTATGATGCCAACGCGACGACCAGTCTAGGTGATGGGATGACTGTATGGAAGAAATCAGCAAGGCGTGCGACGAAGTGCAGGGAGTGGTCGAAATACAAAGTGATGGCCCGCCTAGGCTAGATATTTCTAAATATGCAATATTAAAATCAGGTCTCAAGCGCGAGACACACACTGACTGTGGGTGACTCACCTCATAACGCCCACCGCTCGCAGAACAGAAACCCGCGATCCAACCAAACCAGCGTCACACTTCATCCTTGGGTGGGTTCCGACTAATAGAAAGCGACGATGGCATGCAATCCCACGTACTACCACCCAAGGATCCACCTCAAGACTGAGATTTCGGACTGAGTGACTCCCTTCCACGCCGCCTGGCTGCGGTTAGTGTGGGGGGCATGTGCTCTGGTCCTACGTCCCAGTCCAGACACAGCCGCTTCCCTACCAACGATAACAGGAGGTAGTTGGCAACTGGTCATACCGCGTAGGGCTAGACGATGCCAGGTCTAGGGCTACATAGTGCGGCGAATAGTGCGTGTGGACTGGAGAGGTTGGATGTTGGGTCCCGTCTGCGTTGGGGGGTAGTTGGGAATAAAGCTGACCCCATCATCGGGTTGGTGAAAGGCGGGATCGTAGAAATGTGTTGGGGAGCTAAAACAAGTATGGCGTGAACGGGGAGACGGGAGGATATGAAAGAAGAACTCGCCTTTAGCGTAGTTCACCAACGTCATCGAGGGCGAGTTAGCAGAGAGCTGTTAACAGGCTTGTCACATTGCGCCAGAACATAGAATGCATGTTTCGGCAACAGGGGAGTTGACACAGAGGTGTCGGCGGCCTGGAATAGGCCGGCATGAACGGCATGATAGAACGAGATGGAGGCAAAAGACACACCTCGCCCAATGCCCGACGCCTCGATGAAAAAAGAGTTCGAATACAAGTGTCGACTAGCCCACCGAGATCGCATGTGAAAGTCGGGGTCATATAGAACTGTTCAGGAACCCGCCATTAATATTGCTGTGGCGTCGTATATCGCCGACGCTGTTGCCCCTTGAGTCAGTCAGACACGGACATAGGACAAGCACGTATGTACCTGGTACACCTCCCAACACTGCTAGTCCACACTGAAGAATAATAAGGGACCAAGTCATGGTTGACGATGAAGGTAGACCGCCGCTGAGATGGTGGTGGATGAAGGCCAAGAGACGATAGTGGGTCCTTTCAAGGTGGGCGAGCTTCTTATAGTCGAGGAGAGATTGCAATTGTTTGTCTTCGGCCCTTCGAATTTGGAACGAGAGGCTGACCAGAAGCCGATATACATATCCGCGACCGTTTATAAGGCGTCCGCGTCAGCCTCAATAGGCGGTAAACGTTGAACTCTGGTGAACATGGCACAATCGATGTCATCATGATAGGCCGAACAGGGAACCAAAGTGGGGTTTTACAGCCATATACGTCGCGGTCGGTCTTCATGATGTTGGCCCCTATCTCCGCTTGTCGATCCGGCGCGTTCGTCCACGTGACGTATCTTATTTCGGGAGGACACGACCCTGTCGTTCGGGGTTCTCGACATCTGGCAGTTCGGACCACCTTTTCTCACCGTCGAGAACATCCTCGATAACAACGAGGAAGACCTAAACACCCTCTATCGCGCCATAAACAATTTCCAGGGGCCTCCAGACGAACAGAAGACCACCCAGCACACTCACCAGCCGACCTTTCACCCACGTACCGCAAGAACAATGCCGCCTCAACCAGGCATCTTCCCCGTCCCCTACGGCTCAGGACCAACACACACGCAAGGCGTCATCACCGGTGCGCGACCTTCTTCGGTGGGTCCCATTGGGCCTGGCATCCCGGGCAGTGGAAAGGCTGCCAGGTTGGGTGGCGGAGGCAACCCGCTGAGCACCTTCCCACCAGGCGACCGCGACCTGCCCATGAACGGGGAGATGTACGCACCGGGGATTGGGCACGGCCTGAACGCACATGCCGGGCATGGTCATGGTCATGGTCATCACTCACAGCATGGGCATTCGCACCACCAGGCTGTGGCTGGCCCCAGTACGAGACATAGTGAGTTCCTTCTGTTGTCTCTCGATTGCTGTGTGCTGATCGTGTGTTGTGATGAAAATAGCTGCAGGCTCGATGGACGAGAGTCTGAACCGGAAGGAGAAGAAGCGAAAAGAGTCGTCCAAGCTGAGCAAGGAGATGAGTGATCGAAGGGACGAGTACGTTACCTCTTTTTTCCTCCATTCTCCGTCCGCACCCTGTTACGCATCTGACACCTGCACCCACAGCGGCCGAAACTTCACAGAAAGCATATCCGCGCTACACAACGCTGCCCACATCCTATCCACACGACCAGAAATGTCCGCCTACTTCAACCTGCGGCTGTACCCACTCTCACTAGAACGCTCGGCCCTCCTTGCCCAGCTCGAATCGGAAGAGCGGTATGCCCTCGAATGTGCCCAGGTGGCGTACGACGAAGAGCGCAACCGGGTGGAGGAAGAGTGGAGAAAAGGTCGCGACCGTGTGCGAGAGAGGATGCTCGAGGGCATCGAAGAGCGGCGGAAACGAGCACGAGAGGAGAA